TTCTTTCTTTCTTTCTTTTTTGTGGTACTGGGGCTTGAACTCAGGGCCTTCACCTTGAGCCACTCTACCAGCCCTATTTTTGTGAAGGGTTTTTCAAGATAGGGTCTGGCAGAACTCTTTGCCTGGGCTGGCTTTGAACCACGATCCTCCTGATTGGTGCCTCCTGAACAGCTAGGGTTACAGGCATGCTTCATTGGCGTCTGGTGATGATACCGGGGTTTGAACTAAGGGCTTCATGCTTGTTAGACAGGAGCTGTATCACTTGAGCCATTCTGCCAGCCATTTTTTGTGTAGAGTGTTTTCGAGATAGGGTCTCTCAAACTATTTGCCAGGTTAAGAAATAGCTAAGCAGCAAAGCATTCAAGGTACTATATGGCTTTTTTTGGCTACAAGTGAAATGTGAGGAGAGAGAAATGACAAAGATGAGGTTAATAGCTAAAAGAGAAGCAGACTGGAAAGATTTGAAAACCTTTCAGCCTACCTTTGTAAAGAATAAAAATGGCCGGGTGCCGGTGGCTCATACCTGTAATCCTAGCTACTCAGGAGGCAGAGATCAGGAGGATCACATTTTGAAGCCAGCCAGGGCAAATAGTTCGAGAGACCCTATCTCAAAATTACTCATCACAAAGTGCTGGTGGAATGGCTCAAGGTGAAGACCCTCAGTTTAAGCCCTAGTACCACCAAAAAAAATAAAGAAAGAAAAGAAAGAGAAAAGAAAAGAAGAAGAAAAACACGTTAGGGAGTGAATACTAAGGGTGTGACCAAGAGACCCTTTGCTAAAATGATTAATGTGGAGAGAAGAAGTAGGTTTTATTTGTGAAGACAGTGGGAGGAAGACCCCTAAGGAATTTCAGAGACTGAGGCAAATAGGTTCTTGAGGTCAAGGTTTCCAGAGTACTGCCTGTGGACCTCAGCATTTGCTGCCTTGTGCTATCTCTGGATTCTGCTCCCTGAATTCCAGTGTAATGCCCCTCAGCCACCCCGACCATGACTCATCCAGGCCCAGGTGCAGCCCAGGTGCTTGTCTGAAGGGTACAGACAATAAGCCTTCATGGCATCTTCTTGGTGTTGACTCTGCAGATGATGTGCAGAGTCCATGAACTGTGGGGCCATAGCAGCCTCCCTCGAGATTTAATGGATGTGTTAGACAGCCTAGGGGGCCCAGATAGAAATTTGTTGCAGGTTCAGAGCCATCACAGAGCCCCCACTAATGTCCAGTGGAACTGTGGGGTCAGGGCTGCTGCAGAGACCCCAGCATTACAGAGCCAATAGTGTGCAACTCCAGCCTATGAGATCTACAGTGTGGCCTGTGCTCAGCAAAGGCCACACTTAGGGGTGGGGCTGCTTGAGTCTTGGGTCCATATCCAACCCGTGTGTGCCCAGAGGTGAGCATGGAGTCAAGGAGGGTTATTCTGGAGCTTTATGATTTAATACTGTTTTCCCAGTTTGGTTTTAGACTTACCAGGACCACCTGTCCCTCTTTTCTTATCTCCTTCTGCCTTTCAGAATACTAATGTCTTCCTGCGCCTGTCCCACCGTTGCAGGTGTTTTGTTTATTTGTTTGTTTTTTGTTTTGAGACAGGGTCTTGCTGGTGTAGCCTAGGCTGATCTCGAACTCAAGGTCCTTCCAGTTCAGCCTCCCAAGTGCTGGGATTACAGACTTTTACCACTAAGCCTTACTCAACCATTGCATTTTGTAAGTAGATTACTTACAAGTAAATTACTGTGTAATTTTATTTTCACACAGCTGAGGGGAATTTGCCTTAGAGTGAATCATGCTCTGAGTCTTACTTCTATTTGATTTGGATGAGACTTTGGAATTTGTAGTTGATGCTGGAACACTTAAGACTTTGAGGCTATTGGGATGGAATGAATGTAGGTGAGAAGACATAAATTTGGGTGCTAGGGACTAAATGCTATGGCTTAATGTGTCCCCCAAAAAACCATATGTCAGAGATTTAATCCCCAGTGCCAAAATGTTGAGGGGGGGTGGAGCCTGATGGGAGGTATTCATGAGGGTTCCAGCCTCACCCATGATTATTAGCAATGGTAGAAGGGGTTAAGGCTGTGAGTTCAACCACTTGCTGTCTCATACTCTCTTACCCTTTCACCTTCCACCATGGGATGATGCAGCCCCTCAAATCTTGGACTTCCCACCCTCCAGGACCATGTGTTAAATAAACTATTGTTTATAAATTAGCTAGTCTGTGGTATTTTGTTATAGTAGGACAAAATGGACTGAGAGTTTGTACAATTTATTTTAATCTCTTAATTGTTTGATAGAACTCCCTAGTAAATCCATCAGGGTCTAGAACTGTCTTTGTGGTGAAGTTTCCTCCCCCATACCCTTTTTTTTTTTTTCAGACAGGGTCTTGTTATGTAGCCCAGAGGCTGGCTTGGAACTCCCTATATAGCCCAGGCTAGCGTCAGACCACCCAAGTGCTGGGATTATAGGATGGGATTGCAGGGATGAATCACTATGCTCAGTACACTGAAGGTTCCCCTCTATCTTATTAATTGGCTTTATTTTACATTCTAGAATTGGCAGAAGTTTATTCTACAGAATGCAAAATGTGTTCCCATTTGGGAAAATTTTTAACCATAAATTCAGTTTCTTTCATAAGTATCAGGACTATTCAGGTTATCTTTTTTTGTGTTTTTGGTGTGTGTGTGGGGGTACTGGGGTTTGAATTCAGTTTAGCTTATGTTTGCTAAGCATGCATTCTACCATGAGCCATGCTCATAGCCCTTTATGCCTTTGTTATTTTTTGAATGGGGGTCTCCCTTTTATACCTGGGCTGGCCTGGGCCATGATTCTCCTGTTTATGCTTCCTGCCATAGCTGGGATGACAGGTGTGCATGTCCAGCTTTTTATTGGTTGAGATGGGGGTATTGTTGACTTTTTGCAGAGTCTGGTCTTGAACCTCGATATTCCTGATCTCTGCCTCCTGAGTAGCTGGGATTCCTGAGTAGGTAGCATTACACCATGCCAGGCTCTTTCTTTCTCCTTTCCCCTTCCCTTCCCTCCCCTCCCCTCCACTCCTCTCCCCTCCCCTCTTCTTCCCTCTTTTGTCTTTCTTTCTGTCTTTCTCTCTCTCTCTCTTGTTTTTTTGGTGAGGCAGGGTTGTGTCTCCCAGTGTAGCCCAGACTGAGGTTATCTTTTTTTTTTTTTTTGTGGTACTGGGGATTGAACCCAGAACACTGTACCACTTGAGCCCTGAGGTTATCTATTCTTGCAGAACTTTTATGTTTAAGAATTTTACTTCACCAGTTCTTTTTTATTTATTGGTATAAAGTTGTTCACCATAGTCTCTTACTCTTTTTTTTTTAACTATAAAATAAGTTTATTGGCAGTAACTTCATATTTCCAATATTTGACGGTACAAACTTTAGGGTCTTTGAGATATGCAGAATCCTTGTATGTAACTGACATAAACCCCATTATTTGAGCTCTCTTAATTGTTTTTGTTATTTCTGTTTCTTCCCACAAAAACCTGTGATACGTCTTCAATAAATGCATCCTGTAAATGGAGAAATAAACTGGGACAAAAGCTGCACATTCTTATAATCTCCACGTTTCCCACACAAGATCTATTTCTTAAAGAGGTTCCTTATAAGGATCTTCCACTGGAATGGGCAGGCCCTCGTTGCTGATTACCTGTTTATGTTGTGAACAACCTCTTTTCCATAGCACTGTGAGAGTTCCACGATCTGGAAGACAGACAGAAGCCGCGTTTCCCAGTGTGTCAGCTTCTTCCTCCCCAGGCCATTTCAAACGGCAACCATAGCTACCATAGTTCCTCTGTTCTTCCCACTCCTTTCCTTTTTCTAAAGGCCTTGACTCCTTGTTCTTTAATTACTGAAGAATCTTAGTGGTCTCACCCTTCTCATTCCCAGTGCTGAGAATTTGTGTCTTCTCTTTTTTTTGTAAATTTAAAAAATTTTTACGGTGAGTGTGGATAACAACTTAATGGTTTTATTGATTTTAAAGATCCTATTTTTTATTTCATTGATCTCCATTTTTCCTTTTTCTGTTTTATTGACTTTTGCTTGTTTATCATTTCCTTTCTTTTGCTTACTTTGAGTTTCATATGCTTGTTTCTTTTTTTTTCTTTTGTTTTGTGGTATGGAGTTTGAACTCAGGGCTTTGAGCTTGCTAGGTAGATGTTCTACCACTTGAGCCATGTCCCCAGTACTTTTTTTGCTTTAGTTGTTTGTCAGGTAAGTTATTGTGTTTTTGCCTGGGACTGGCCTCAGCTCTTCCTACCTGTGGCTTCTTGCATAGCTGGAATCACAGGTGCACACCATCACACCTTGCTTGGTGGTTAAGATAGGGTCTCATTAACTTTTTGCCTGGATTGGCTGTGAACCATGATCTTTCTGATCTCTGCCTCCCCAGTAGCTGGAATTATAGATATGAGCTACAGTGCCTGGTTTCTTTTTCTTATTTCTTAAAGTAGAAGCTGAGATATTTCTTTGAGACCTTTCTTTTTCTGATATGTTGTGTTAAAATTTTCCCATAAGTATTGCTTCAGTACTGCCACAAATTTTGATTATGTCATGTTTTCTTTATTCAGTTCAAAATCCCTTCTAAACCCTGCTTTTTTTTTTTTTTTTCCAATACAGTCTGTGTCTGTATTGCCCAGACTGGCCTCAAACTGCTGGATTCATGCCATCATTCTCCACCTTCTTAGTAGCTGGTATTCTAGGTACACACAACTGCACCTGGCTAACTCTCCATTTGGTTTGTTCTTTGACTCACAAAGTATTTATTAATATACATTGTTAGCTTCTAAGTATAAATATTTGAGAGCTTTTCAGAGATCTTTCCAGTATTTTCTAATTAATAAAGAATCCAAGAAAACACTTCATTCACAGTGCCATTATTTTTCTCTCACTCTTTTTTTTCTGCAGTACTGGGGTTTGAATTCAGGGCCTCTACCACTTGAACTATTCCACCAGTCCTTTTTGTGTTGGGAATTTTCGAGAGAGGGTCTTTTGAACTGTTTGCCCAGGCTGGCTTTGAACTGTGAGCCTCCTGACCTCTGCCTCCTAAGTGGTTAGGATTACAGGCATGAGCCACTGGCACCTGGAATCCATTATTCCATCTTAAAAAAGCAGTAGTTCAAGAAGAAGGCTGAAAGCTCACAAAGAGACCTGTGCTCTGTGCTAGTCAGGGACATGTGACCAAAGGCCAGTGAAATGAGTCAAGTAGGGTAGAGGGAGTGGACAGGAGGAGAAAGGGACAGATAGATAGCAGGGCAGTCAGAGGAAAGGTAAACTAAATTTAGATCCTGGATTAGGAGGGCAGAGAATGGTGAGGGAGGGCTGTGTTACATTAGACTGAAGCAGCCATCAAAGCATGGGAGTGAGATTTAAGTTAGGATTCCGAGGTACACACTTGGAATGGAACAGTGTAGTTTTAGTTGCCTAGAAGAACCACTGAAGCTTCATTTTATAAATCAGAGAGTAGAAGGGAGAATTTTGTTTCTGCTAGTACCACAAGAATATGGAAGTAGTAAGAAACAAGTTTAGGATAAAGGGAAATTTGTCTTGCTGGTTGTAGAGGAGGAAAGGAAACTAAGGCTTTTGTACCATTGTGTGCTGAACTTTTCCTTGTTAGTACACATACATTGTTTGATGTAGTTCTTGTAATGTCCTATATGGTATTTCTTTTCCTTTTTTTGAAATAGTCTCCCTGTTAGCTCAGGATTACCTACAACTCACAATCCTCTTGCCTCAGCCTCCTGAGAATTAAGAATACAGGTGGTACTATAATGCCTGGCTTATTTATATTACTTACTTCCACTTACAAATGAGAACACTGAAAGTTGGAGATGAGTAATACGCTCAGAGCCACATAACTAAACTGGATTTAGCTTTTGAACATAACAATGATCTCAGTTCTTTCCACTGGATATGTAAATTCATGAGTTTCTACCAGCTTCTTTTCTCAGGCTACTGCTGTTTGACGATCTTTTTCTGTTCTGTACACGTCATACATGATCCAGAGCTATACTGCCACTCTTCTCTTTGCAAAACTCTTGACTTTGTGCTTTGAAGGAATTGCTGTTTTTTAAGTGAAAGTAATCAAATTACTCTTTTATTTCAGTAAATCAGATCACATAGGAAAGATTCTCAGGGACATATTTGTGGGGTTTTGGTAATATTTTGAACCTACAAAATAGGTCCCCCCCTCTTTCTTTTTTGAAACAGAGTCTTACCATCTTCTCTAGGCCGATCTCAAACTCTTAGGTTCAAGCATTCCTCCTGCCTCAGCCTCCTGAGTACTAAGTGCTAGGACTACAGATGTGTACCATCACACTCAGCTAGAATATAGTTTTTGAAGGCATAGATTTTGAAGACTTCCATCTGATAAACTGGGGGTAGACTGCTATGAAGTGTGTTTGGGAGTCTGTTCTTAATATCTGCTATCAGTAACATTTTATTGAAATTCCAAAGTTTGTATTGTATAATACTGTTCTGAAATTTTACTTGTTAAATTAGAATGAAGCATTGAAGTAACACCTTAATTATTTTACACATTCTGTTTTCTTAATACCTGATTGGCTGTATTATATTGATAGTGACAGGTAATTGAACTGTATTGCTTGAACTTGGCAACAATACATTTTTGCAGCAAAGATACACAATAAAGCTTACCCTAAACTGGTAAAAGCAAGTTAGTGTAATGTGGTGTTTTAGCATTTTAAGAGGTACTGTGGACCATGACACTTTGAACTTGGAAGGAAGTGCTTTCCATTGATTTCCTATTTTCCCTCTCATATCCTCATCGTGCCACTAAGTGGCTATGAACTGTGTTGTGGGTGATTAACTGATCTGTCCTGTAAGAGTTAGGATTTACCTCTGACATGGTTATACTTTAGCAGTGATTTGGGCTTTTTACGTTTTAACTTTGATTTTTGTCTGCTTTTAAAGTGTTTGATTACAGTCTCCATATAGTTATTGAGTGATATCTTTAAGATACTTTCCCTGATTGCTTTTTATACAGGACCTGTGCATTCTAGGAGAGGTCTATGTGCTACCTGAGGGTCTGTTGGTAAGTGCTAGAAGAGTTATACCCAAGTATTGGGGACTTCATGAGGAATGGGGACCAGGTGTAATTGTGGGTTTGGAAGACAGGTCCTTTCAGCTGTACTTCATGAGATAAAGGTAGCATGAGATGGGATGTAGGAGAAGGGGATTTCCTTGAGATTGGTTTTGAAGGATGAGGGACATTGTGGTTGGGGGAGTAGAAACATTGGGGTTGGAGAGAGCTTTGTGAACCAGGCAGAGTACCCAGTAGAGAGTGGTTGGTTTAATATAAGAGAAACAGGTATGCTGCTCTGAACTTACAGTGTTTGGAGAAATCCCAGGTGGTGGCTTGGAATTGTAGTCAGGTGGTATTGAGGAGGACTGGTTTGTCAAACAGGGAGATGCATACTCAATATTTAATACTCTTACTGCTTATGGCAAGAAACTTCTTCCCATCTTTCTTACTGTTGGCTCACTGTGTAGTATTCCTGTGTTCTGGCCTCTCTTCCCTTACCAGTGCCTTTCCTTTCTTTCCTGTTGTATGCCAGGCCTAGGTTGCCAGGTAAAACACAGGATGTCCAGTGAAACTTGTGGCGTTAGAGGGCAGGAATACAGTGGGTTTTGACCATCCATTTGGAACTGCCAGTCTATCCCAGGCCACCTGGGCACAGATAAGCAGTGAGGCCCTGTGGTCCCTCTAGATTTCATTCTGGAGATAAGACAGCCGTTTCTCGAGCTGTCATTTCCTAGAAAATGTGGTTGGAAATGTCACTCTAAGGGAGTGAAAGGCCCTGTACATAGTCTTTCCATTGGCTTTCAGCTCTGACAGCTGGCACCTCAAGTAGATTGTGCAAGGGAGGCCCTATTTTGAGGTACAGAGAGATGAGCCTTTTCCCCCCAGTTTGAACCATCCCCATAGTCCAAGGTTTCTGGGCCTCAGCACTATTGTTTATTTTATTGTTTTTTTGTGGTGCTGGGGATCAAATTCAGGGCCTTGTGTATGCTAAGCACACCCTCTTCCACTTAGCTGCACTCCCAGCCAATACGATTGTTTCATTCCATACAATTCTTTGTTGTCTGCGACTTTCCTGTGCATTATAGGATGTTTTGCAGTATCTCTGCCCTCTTTCACAATCAGTGTCAATGTTAGCCCTCTTTCTGCCCCAAGTTGTGACAACAAAATGAAATGTCTCCTGTGGTGTAAAATTGTCCTTTTCTCTTTTTGTTTTTTGGGTGCAAAGATACAGAATTTGTTTAGTCAAAAGGAAAAGAGACAGAGCTCTCACTGGTAAAAGGGGCCCCGAGAGGGTTGCCCTCTTCTCTTGAGTACTATTGCTTTTTATTCTGTAAACACAAAGAAAAAAATCCTCCATAGCACTTTTTAATCATTTTACTTTTATAATAACCAGTAAAATGCTTGTTGAGAAGACTTTATGTTTACTAAACTGAATTTAAATTCTAAGCTATTTCAACTTGCTTAGTTTAGAAAGTCTTCCTTTGTGCCATTGTCAGAACGTTCTCAAATCTAAAACTATGCATTTAAAGCATTTTTTTACATTGTTATGTTTAAATCATTTGTGAAATATAAAAAAGTTTCATTTTGTATTTTGGAGTAGAGTTTGTTACAGTTATACAAATATAAATTATAAATTATTAATATTATTATTGTTATTTGCAGTACTGAGGTTTGAACTCAGGGCCTCACACTTGCTAGGCAGGCGCTCTACCACTTGAGCCACTCCACCAGCCCAATAAATTATTTTTTAACTAAACATGGCCAGCAGTTAATTTTATGAATACAATATTATGAAAGTTTGTAACTGCCTGCCAAAAGTCTGAGCATAAAGCCTCATTTGAAGGAGTCCTGAATAAAAATTTTCTTTTTGTAAATATTAAGAAACCTTGGCTGAGGAGGGAGTGGCCCAAGGAGACAAAATTTCTTGCATTCTGGCAGTTTGAACTTTGGGAGACAGTTTGTTTTGGACTAAATCTGGAAAAATCATTTGTGTATTGTAGCCAGAAAATCTTTTAGGCTTTTTCCAGCCTTGTCATTTGTCTGGAATGTTAAGTATTAACGGGAATTTAATGGCCTTTTCAGCATCTTGCATTAAAAAAGAGAGATCTCCAGAAATGGATCTGAGAGATCTTGGTGTAAAGTGAGGTGTTTTTTTTTTTTTTAATTTTTATTCTGTTACTCTATGAAAAGCAGGAGGAGGAAGGGAAGTTACATGGTTATAGTTAATTAACTCTCTTTCCCCCAGCATCCTATTTATACTTACGATGTAGTGGAAAGAACTTAGACTTTAGGCAAGCTGGTTGCTTCCCTCTAACCATGATTTCTTCCTCCTTTCCAGCCCCTGGGGTGATTATGAGAATCAAATGTTGCTAGTATTTTTGCAGCATGGGCCTTGTTCATTGGCACTTGGCTCTCAAATTTAAATGACAGTTTGAGGGCAGCCTGGGCAAAGTTCAGGCAAGACCCTATCTGAAAAACAAACTAAAAGCAAGTGAGAGCTTGAATTCAGTAATCTGTACACCGCCCTCCACACACACAGAAAGTATACTTTTTATGCACTCTCTGGATATGGATATGTTGCATAATTCATAAGAAATGTTAAAAATGTGTGTGCATTGATGAATTCAGTATAGGATCAGTTGGTTGCATTATGATTTACTTAAGATTTTTTTGCTAGCTTATTCTACCCCCAAAGCTTTTTGTTTTTTTGGTAGTACACATTTATCAGATTGGTTGTTGTTGTGGGTGTTTTCTTTTTGGACTCAGGGCTTCATACTTGATAGGCAGACACTCTAGGTTGTTGGCTTTAATTCATCTAACACTGACTTGTTTTCCTGTTGCTTCTTTCATAAGTTAGAGTTTTCTTTTGACTGTGGTGACTCCTCAGTGTTTAAATCTATTAATTTGTCAATTTTATTGTGATCCCTATATCTTGACTATAGAGTTTGTAAAATAAGGAGATAAATGTATTTAGATTGCTTGGGTCAAATCCTTTGTGGATTTTCATTGGAATATTGATAGACATAAAAAATAACTAATGAACAATTTCTTCTCTAAAAAAAATTTTAGTCCTGGTTTTGAAGGTATATATCATGAATAGAGTTTTTTAGCATTCTGAAAGAAAGATCTCCAGGGCTAGGGTTGTAGCTTAGTTGTAGAGAAGTTGCTTAGTGTGTGTGGAACCCCAGCACCACTAAAAATAAAAATGTTCCCAAAAAACAACCAAAAAAGATTCTAATTCACCCTTCTCTATAAACAAGGCTTACAGAGTTAGGGTGACTTGTTGAAGGTCATATAGATGGTGCCAGATCTGGGACTTATAGTCTAGGTCTCTTGATTATCATTCCTGTGGACTCCCTACCATATATTTTCAGTATTTCCTGATGTGTAATTTTCAGTGGGAAAGAAGTAGAAGCTAGTGTTGTTTGTTGACATCTATGTGCCAAAGCATATAATTTAATGTAAGTAGTAAGTATAGCAATTGTTAGTCATTCCTTATAAAGGGTTTCTCTTAACAAAGTATCTTTTGAGTTGCCTTTATTTTAATGAACCATTAGTCATACTTGGGGCATGCAATGTGTTCTTTCTATAAATTATGATAGCACATATTTATCTGGTCTTTGCTATGGGCTGCCACACTGCTAAGTTCTTTCGTTCATTATTTCATTTAATCTTCTCAGCATCCTTATAAGGTATGTAAATATTACCAGTCCTGTTTTATGTATGAGGAAACTGAGATTTCACAGAGGTTAAGTAACCTTCTCCAGGATACAGATTTGATTCAAAGTGGCTAGGGCAGTCTCACAGATAGTAGTTTTTAAAAAATTATCTTAGGGGATTTAAAAATATCAGTTAAATAACAATTTTAATGATTTTGAATAGCAGTTCATTTTATACAGCAGGGAAGAAAATTTTAATGGAGGTGAATAGGAGGAATGTAAAAGAAAAAATAAGTGACAACAGTCCAAATCCTGGTCTGACTACAGAAGGGATATAGGTCAGGACTACCCCTGTAGTTGCCAAGACGATTCCTGTCCCACACTGTGTGTCTGGGCAGAAGGAGCCTCTCAGCTAGGGAATGTCCTCAGAGCCCCCATGTTCCCTGCCACCTCCAGACAGTTTGTATTCTCAATTCAGGGTGGATCCCTCCTGAGGCATATGACAGTTAAGATAAAGTCATAAAGTGCTTGTGGCATTACTTCTGAAACTTGGTATGTCTTTCATGGGTAGATGACTGGAGAGGGTGGAGTTTCTGAATCACTGAGATAAATTGCCATCTCTGATCTTGACTTGCTGCACCATTTTTGTGACCTTTGAGCCATCGTGAAATAACATCTTCTGGAACTAGGATGTAAAAACTTTTGCTGTCATTGGTTTATACATGTTATTTGTTTAAAAATGCTGTAAGTTAGGTTTTATCATTTCCTATTTATAGTAGAGGACATTTTCAGATTAAATTGATTAAGTGGTTTGCCCTCAGCCACACAACTTATATAGCAAAGCTGGAGCTTGGACTTAGTCTGCTGACTTTAAATTCAGTACTTTTCTTACTGAGACCCAGATGGAGCTTCTTGCAGTATGTTACAAAGCCTTATCATTGCTTTATACTACGTACCATTGTCATCCATTAAGTGAATTATATGGTTCCTTAGAGTCAAGCTTCCTTTTTATTGTAGAAGTCAAAGGGACTTAGATTGAAGACAGCATTTGTAAGGAGGAGGCTAATACTAGGGTGTTATGTGAAACTCAGAATTTAAGAGTATCCTAAGCTACCCCACGCCTGGTATGGTAGTACAGGCCTGTAATCCCAGCACTTGGATGGCTTAGAAAACACCAAAAGTATCCCAAAGTCTGGAACCTTGAGCTGAAACTGACCAGATAAAAATATTAAGATACAGGTTTACAAATGTGAGAGTATAAATTACACATTTAAGGAGAAAAGTGGGATGTTATTTACTATCATTTTTTAAAAACGTATCTGTGAATGTGAAAGCAGTTTAGTTTAGAAG